CTTTTAGCTTGCATTAGGCACTCATCTCTAAATAAGGCTTTCCATTGTACAAATAATGGACTGGGGAGGGTAGATCTACAGATGTCCCTCCAGTCCTGGGGGGTAAGCAGATTAGTATTAAATGTTTGTAGTATAGATTTTGTCCATGGAGCATGAATTCCATCCTCACAGACAGCCTGGTGTAATTCTTTAAGTTCCGCTGCTGGGAGTGGGTACCAGGCTAGTGGGCGTTGCCTTGTTATTTGTAAGTTAACAGGAAAAGCCTCTACCGGTGGGGTGTGAGGGTCCTGAGACCATTGAGGCTGGCAACTTCCACTATCTCTAAGATTACATAGTTGCTCTGTGGCTGTAGGGCATGGCTGGAACGGCACCACAGGCTGTGGCGGAGCCACAAGGTGTGGCGGTAGCCGAGGTGAAGGGGGAGGGGAATTTATCTGAGGATCTTTTGGAGCTTTTGAAGTCTGGGCGTTAATGTCTGGGCTTGTTAAATCAGCAAGAGGGGGGTAAAGATTAATTTTGCTGATGAGTAGGTTTTGTCTGACTTCTGTTGAATCTGCTACTGGGCAATTTTTAGGGTCTTTTTTATTGTTTGAACCTTCCCCTTTATTATTTTCCGAGGCTTGTCCTAAGGATTGTTGGATGGCTGCAATTATGGGGAAAAAGGAAAGGGGGAAATTATGCCTTTCCTGGATTTCTCTTTTATGAGCCAGATATGCAATGTTAGTCCAGACCTCTGGATCAGAAATGTCTGCTGACAGGATCCAGGGTGCAAATTGATATACTTCATTCCAAAATTTTAAGCTTTCTTTTTGGGAGATTTTAAGTCCTCTTGATTTAAGTAGGGTTTTAAGGGAACGAATTTGGAGTTTTTTCTGGCAGGGAAGATGTTTTTACAGTAGTCTGACACTAGGGGGTGGAACGCCCTGACAAGTTACAAGCCTCAGACTGCAGAAAAAAAAAGTCGCTTTTAAATCTTTTGTTCTGGCCGCAGTCACCTTGAATTTTCAAGTGCTCCGCAGGGCTAGTTATTTAAATTCTCACTTGACTGGTTTTAGCTGTGGTTTGAATGCCCTGGGGGGGCAGGATAACGAAACTGACTAGAGAAGTTTACTTTAGAAGGAGAAAAGAGAAAAGAGAAAGCCAAGCCCCACGAGTGGGGAGGCTTTGTGGCACAGCCGCCTTTTTTAGTCTCCTGATGGGAGATGAAGTCTTTGATTTTTGCTTCTCTCCTGGTTGGAGAGGTACTCACGAATCCTGCGTTTCAGTGGGCATCAGCTGCTAGCTGGCGCGAGGTTCAGAGGCCCCACATTGGGCACCAGATATGGGGGCGCAGGAATCTTGGGGCACCAGCTGCTGGGCATGGCGCCAGTCTCCTGCGTGCACCTGGGGTGCAGCGGGTCCCGCACTGCGTCGCTGTGGGTCTCTGCTACCGGGGCTGGCCCGGTCGGGTTCTGTCCCAATTTCCACCGTGCACTCCCTCGAGATACGAAATCCACCGGCCGCTGGATCACGTGGGGATGTGTGGGGACGGAGAAAGCTGGATTTCCGTGAGTCGATGATGGAAGGATAGCGCCCCCCGGGGAGACTGGACCATAGGCAGTAAGACACAGGACTCAGCTCAGTCAGTGGTACAGCCCCTTTATTCAGTGACTCAGCTCGGCTCCAAGCCTTAGTGATCCAGCTCTGATTATTGAGGGAAAACCAGGATATTTTATACTATGGGGGTGGTAGTAAAAACCTTAGCTGATAGGTACTTTGGTACTTTGTGGGATGCCCTATTTACATATGGGAGTGGGCTCCCACCAGGCTGTCAGACTGTCTGAAAATCACACAGGAAAAGCTGGCAGTTCCAGAGCCGGAGGCCATGTTTCTGTGACAGCTACTTCAAAAGATGAGTCAGGAAGAGAGTAGGAAGGCACCCTACTGATAAAAGGAGTCTCTGCATTGAACACCGAGCCCGTGGGCTATCCAGACATGGAGAGACTGCTACTTTATACAACAGGGGTCCCCAACAAGGGAAGAAACACAGGACAAAAGGAAGGAGAAGGGGAGTCATTGTGTGTATACACACACACACACACACGCACGCACGCACGCACGCACACACACACACACACACATACACACACGCACACATATTTCAGGGCAGGAACCACAGCCAGGGTCTACTGCTACTAGGCCAATGCTCCTCACTCAGCCCCAGTCCCAGCCTTCATCTCATATGCATCAACCTACCTGAAAGCACTAAAAATTTAAAGTTTCCTTTTCTTCCCCACTACCCTCCACATACAAAATGCTCACATAGGGATAAATGTGAGACAGATCAGGTCTCCTTCCAATCTTCATTTTTTTTTAATACAACAAACCTCCAAGAATGGTTCAGTCCCACATACATCCACTTTATTTTTGAGTGAACTGATTCAAATTACCTTCAATATGAGATAGTGTCCTAGATGAATAAACACCAGACATTAATATATAATGCTCCTTTTCCAGCATATCTTGCTCAAAGTCTCAAAGGCATGCCACAGAGCCACGGGAACAAACCCTTCTCAAACCACCATGCCCACAGAGACCAAATGAACCTGAGACTGGACCAGATTTTGAAACACTCTAATTAGTATATGGTACCAAGATATTCATTTAGTTAAAATTAAATCTCTACACTTAAAAAAACCTCTGCCCCTAAACAAATGTTGTACCTCCAGACAGACAGACACCTATAAATTTTTCACAAATTTCAGCTGTCCAATTTTAGAATGGTTTCCACTTAAAGGAAAATGTTTTGTGACATGTGCAAGGAAATAAAAAAGAGTCTATTTCCATCAACAGGTGATTCCTTAGATAAAGATTTACTATGCTGTTATCTTTCACAAAAGCTTTTACTAACAGACAACAAGAACATCTGGTTAGTTCTGCTCTGGCCCCACCCCAAGAGTCCTCTGGGAAAAAAAATCAAGGTGCAAACTACAAACAACATGAGATTATTCCTATACAAAAGACCAGGTGCTGTATTAAAGCAGCAAAGAGTTACTGCATAAGCAATATCATTTCCAGAGCTTTTGATACAGGATTCTGAGTTTAAGCAAGGTGTCTAGAAATATATCTATTAACACAACTATCAAAAACTATGGCAGGCCTAGGACATTTTACTCCTAATATTTCTGACAAGAGTAGCTCTTTAAAATTTTTCAATGTGGCCAGGCACTTGGGAACCAGAAGCAGGCAGATCTCTGTGAGATTGAGGTCAGTCAGCCTGGTCTACATAGCAAGTTCCAAGACAGCTGGGGCTACAGGAAAACTCTGTCTCAAAAGAAAAAAATTTCAATGTGATTTGCTTAAAAATAGTTAAAATGTTTTAGATATACACATATACATTTATGTGATTGGTCTGTTGGCTTGTTTTTGAAAGACTCATTGCAGGGTTTGGGGTATAGCTCAGTAGTAGACTATGCAAATAGCATGCACAAGGCCCTGGATTTGATCCCCACCACTCACAAAAGAAAAAAAGAGCCGTTATAATAAGAAATTATGTGACTTAGTGAGACGTTTCTATGCAGTGCAGTTTTTTCACAGACTAAATCAGGTTTTCTATTCCTTTGGCCTCACACAGCACTAATAAGTCTAGCAATGCCCAAAGGTAATCTGGCAAACTTAATAAAGATTCGACACAGTGCTTTGGGGAGTAATAAAAGACTCTTTCTCCTGACCCAATGTTCTCCCTGTTTATCTTTCAGTTTTCATTGAAAAGTACACTCTCACAGAGCAATGGAGCAAGAACTCAGGTCACATTCTAAGTATTCTGCAAATGATTTGGGACTATGGGTAATTAGACTGATTAAATATTTGTGGAAACAATGTAGATAAAGGGGCTTTTGTACGTAAATGTTCACAACTCCCTCTATCCCTCTCCTCTTTCTTCCCCAATCTCATTTTGTTGTGTGGTAAGAAACAGGTACAAAAATACGACCTGCACTGATTATCTCTGGTTATTATATTAATGTTAACATATTAGCTAAATCAAACTTGGAAATGTTTAATAGTACAAACAAACTGGTTACAATTGTGGCTGTTTGGAGGAGGTTTTTCTCTATTGAGGTTAATTTACAAATTATTATCGATGGATTTTGGCAACTTGAAAAATCTCTCAGAGTTTGAAAGTCTGCCCACTCATAGTAAAGCATCCCAGAACCATAACATAATTATACAACAGAAACCTTAACTTTACAAAACTTTCCTGACAATGGGAGTAAATGCATTCTACTAGAGTTGATCAACACATACTAGGACAGTATGTTTCCTCTACCTAGATCTCTAAGAACACAGAGAATAACAAAACACTGTCTTTGCTCTGAGCAAGCAGAATCACTAATGCTAGTTAAGTATTTACTTAACACCTAGCACTGTGATAAGTACTCTCCACTACATCATCCAGCAAATCACTGTGACAATTCTATGGAGTAGACTGTCTTAAAGCAGTAGTAAGAGGAAAGCTAAGTCCCATGCCCAGAAATGATGGTCAAACTATTATCCACTTAGATGGGGTGGTGGGAGGCAGTGTTTGGAGGCTTAGGGTTGCAACTACTTACCCATCAGTATAGACACAGCCCAATATTCCACAACCAGGGTGGCCTTCCAGGTGTGCACCAGCTGAGTATCAGCCCTACTTGTACCCAAATGGTTTCAATACAAGGAAGAAATTGAGGGGACAATAAAAATCTACATCAATAACCAAACAGGAAAATTTTTCAGTTTTTTTCTTTTTTCCTTTTTTTTTTTTTTTTTTTTTTTTTTTTTTTTTTTGTCCCCTTTTTCTTTTTTTTTTTTGAAAAAAGTCACCCTCTACCCCGG